ACCGTGTTCATAGGTTTTTCGGCTTCCGAACACATCAAACCTGAAGGATCTGAACCCCCGAAACTGCCGCGAACTCGTGCGCTGCAAGCGATGGCCTGACCTACCGTACGATTCCTGATTTCGGATCTCACTGCAATCTGTCGTCCACAGCTCTCAGGAGCCGCCGGAGGTTGAGCACATGTCCTCCAGAGAAGCCATCGAGGCTGGTCTTCCGTGCCAGATGAGCCCAGCGTGGTTGAAGTTGAAGAGCGGAGAAGGAAGCGTTTGCAAAGAAATCGGAGGAGTGGCTTTGACTATGAGTTGAGGGAGAACATGGGATGGATTCAAGACATGTAGAGCAACCACAAGAAGGAAAGGCAAAGTGGAAATGAGTCTTCACCATGTTTCCGCGGGTGGGTTCCCTTCTAGGCCTAGTATCGGGTTCCCTTACAAAGGAATGTTCCTATGATGGTCTTTTGTTAGTAGTAGCTTCTTGTTACTAGTAGCCATGGCCTCCAACCTACTTGCGATGGCCTCCAACCTACTTGCGATGGCCTCCACCTAATAGCGTCCAAACATTGCTTAAGTAGGTTTCCAACACATTGTTTTTCACGGTGCCCAGCAGCCATAGTTTGATTGGTGGAAGCAGACCTTTCTGTCGACCTGCGGAAGCACGTCGGCGTCACGTCTTTTGGGGCTCAGATGGAACCGAACGAAAATGACCCATCCTCGGTCTCTAAAGGTCTTTTGTCCAAGTCTATTTTCCGTTTGATTGAGGGCGCCGAGTCTATTTACACTTCTCTTCTACAGCGATCGACCTGCCACAGACGGAGATCCGGCACTTGAAGCTGGACATTGACCACTTCAAGAACCTCGCCGCCCGGCTTCAGACGGAGGACATGTTGGGTCGTGGAGACACTTGTTTCAGTTCAGGAACGAGACAAGAGAGGCATCAGGCAAGGGCCAGCACCAATAGCATTCATCAGCCTCCAGCAGGCCGGGAAGGTTAACCTCTTCCAGGTGTGCCACCAGGTTTCACAGGATGCAAAGGAGAACTTGTGCCTGGCAAGTTGCCGAGGACCCTCAGGGTCCATCTCCACGGACCCTCTCTGCCGATCTCCAGGACGCACAGCGCTTCTATATCCTCCAAGCCCTGCGGAACGAGTTGCAGGAGGCGCTTTCGGACCCTTTGATCCGGTGCTTTAGGACATGGTCCAAGCGGACATGGACCGGGTCAACTGAGTACTTGTTTGTACCTACTTCCAGTGCCTTCAGTGCTGGAGTACATCCAATCCTCCAATCCCCAACACGATGGATACTTCCAACAGATAGATATGGGGATGAGTGAAAACCTGGAGCCTTGGTCCATCATGTAGCTTGAAGTCAAGCAAGATATGCAGGTTTTGACCCACAGTCATATGAACAGTATCTACTTCCCCTTGTCTTGTGCCGAGGCCACGGAGGAGTTGGGCTACCAGCGCGATCGCGCCAGGCACCATGAGGTCCTCCTCCCGGGTGGCACGTGTGAGACACCGTGTGAGCCGCTCCCAGCTTGGGGTTCTCGTGGTGATTGACCATGTTTGACCCACTGAGAGAAAGGCTGAGAATAGATGAGACTTGAAATGGCTGGTCTGCAGCTAAGCCTAAGCACATCGCTTTGCCACTTAAGGTCACGGAAGAGACTCAACGCTACGTCCACACGAAACAGTTGTTCAGGTCTGTGAGAGGGGGCAGGCCATTGGCCCTTTGTGAGAACGCGACCTGATGAAGCCCAGCTCTGGCTGGATCCAAAAGCAGGAAGGAGGGCCAATTTCCCTCACCTGAGTTAAAGTATTTTTAGAGTATTCATGAGTATTCCGGATATGGATATACGCAGATCCAGGATTTTGGGTACCTACTGTAGCCACCACATCCAAGGACAATTCAAGCTCATCTACAAAAGGCATATCAGAGAACTTGCAAAACTTTAGCCCTGTGTGGCACAAGCTGCCACCTTTTAGACAGGCAACCGATGTACCGATGTGTCCTGTCGCATGTCTTTGTTCCTTTCGCATGCCTCGCCTTTTTGCCGTCTCGCCGCCTCCGAAGTCTGATCAGCACAGGGAAGAACTCGCACGTTCCGCCCGCACGTCTCGCCTGGACCGATCAGCTGCCTTTTTTTTTGGGATCCTGAACGCTCCAAAGCCTGGGCGTTGAAAGGCACCGGGGGGCACTTGGGGGGCACTTGGGGGGCACTTGGGGGGCACTTGGAGGGCACTTGGGCTCGCGTGTGGAGCATGTGATGTTCATGTGATGTTCATAGGAAAAACCCTTTTTCTTCGTGGACCCTCATATCGGGGTGCGTGGCCTGAAGAGTTGGGGTTGGATCTACAGATTGAGAGTCATCAAGGGTAGAAGACCCAAAGTACCACACGGGATTCAGCATTTTTCAAAGTGGCAAAGATCACTTGACCTAGTGGGCCCTTCACAGCTGTGAGGAAGCCACGAGAGCGTACTGATGACTCTTTCAGTTGACTCTCCAAGTCACTGCCGGATCAAGTCTTGACCGTCGGTGCTACCAAGGGCCTCGGCTGAGCTGGTGAGGGCACGATCGATTCATTCAGAGCGTAAACCTGCGACGAGCTTCCACGAGGTCTCATTGACCACCTACCGGGGTCAGGAAGGCGAACGATGAAACGAGTCGGCACGGGCCAAGCCACCAAGTGTGGGACTGGACAAGGGGTTCCAGAATTGGTGGAAGGGACAGTATACAGGAAACCCCTTGGGGGGTGAAAACCAGGGTTTCCGGAAGATTCTCCCTTCAACCAATCCATTGGAAAAGACGTGCCCAAAGCTGTTCGTGCCTGATGCCAGGTATGATGGGGGAGCGCCCTCGTCGAAGACGAGGCAGGCATTTTTTCGGTCAACCGCTGTGTCACATGTCTGACATGGCAGGTTTGAAAGTTTTCTAAATGAGTAGTATAGTGGTCCCCAAATAGATAGTGGCACGGTTTCCAATACATTTTGAAAGGGATGCTACTTTTCTACCTATTTAGGGGTCTATATAAACCATAATGACATAAGGCCTAGGTTGGAGTATCCTTCGCCGTGACGGGATGATCCCACCTTAGCCTGACCTGATGCCTAGGGTGGTTCGACACAAGACCCGGCATGATCCGGTAGGTCTTTTGGGTGTATTCAAGCAGTTCAATTACTGTGTACTTGTTTTGTTTCAACTAGACCTTGCCTCGTCACATCAAATTTTGCCACGATCTCTGCACACTTCATGCCTCCTCCACCACTGACTGAAGACAGACTGGGGGCACCACGTCTACTGTCAAATACTGTACCTATCCGTACCTGAGGCACATTCCTGCACACGATTGCAATCACGATCCCCCATGCAGCCACTGGGACTTCACAGGATCGGTGACTCCACACATCAACTCCGTCTGTGACTCCGTCCTGTGTCGGGCCAAGGCGCCGAGTTCGCCGTGGTGAAGCGCCATCGAAATCTCCTGCTCGTCCCGTGCCGCGCTCAGCGCTGAGAGCCGAACGCGGTCATGCCGTTCAACGCGGCGGTGGAGAGGCGCTGAACGTGCGCGGGAACGTCTGCTCCCGTGGTTTCAGGTTCCGGGGCGGTACTGGAGCCGAAGGCCGCGTCAAAGGCGTGGGTGTTTTTGGGTGCTCGGGATGGGGCTTGGGATGCAACTGTGTGTGTCTCAGAGGAGCCAGGCCTGGCAAGGTACTTGGCACTTGGCAAGACCATGATGGTTGAGAATCATAAAGGGTTTCAGATCCCCTTGGCACAGGCCATCGCAAGAAGGTGTTGGGGGAAGAAAGGTCAGACCACTACACTGGGGCGAATCTGTGTTGTGGTGAACCTGGGACGAATGGGGTGCCTGCCACTTCCACGGACTGATGACCTCTGGTCATCACCTTGACATCCATCCCCTTCGACTGGATCCGGCCAGAAGTCAACACCGAAGTGAGGAGTGGATTGCACGGGGTTTTGAAGGGTTTGCCCGTTGAAGACCCAGCTCAGGATGACGGAATGTATTGTTGTTCATGGTGGTTGGGGATGGTCATTGCAAACTCGCCAGCGGCTGGGGTGCAACCCCTGAACAAGGTCTGACACTCCTTCACGTGCTTTGCCATCTATATACTTGGGTCTACTTGGCAGTGCCTAATGTCCAAGCTTCCAAACTGTTTGAAAACTCACTGGCGGATGACTTGGCATGTCTTCCATACTGTGCGTCTTCCAAACACATCAACCGTTTTCCGTGTCCCAGTCGTCGACTGACCTCCTCACTGCTCACTCGCTCGCTCGCTCACTCGCTGCGCGTGCCCCTGATAGGACCAGCCAAGAAGGTGTCCCGAGACCAACTCAACGGCTTCGGAGGCAACGTGGACTATGAGGCAGGTTGGGCAGGCTGGGCAGGCTGGGCAGGGGAGTCCTTGCTAAGAGGATATGAGGGGGACTTGTTTTGGAAGGGGTGTAGTTGGAGCGAAGAATGCGAAATGGACCTCCTCCCAAAAGAGGTGACCTTTTCCGAAAAGTGCTACTGTAGACTGTAGACGAAGAAGCTCAGGCAGCTTTCTCTCTTTCTCCCTTGGCAACGCCGGGTGAGGGCGCCATCTTTGGCATCCATAGCTTTCATGAGAGCTTGGCCCGTGAGCGCCGGGAGCCTCATTCTGAGTCCAGTCACGAGTCTCTTTTTGTGGTTGTTTAAGATGACTTGACCCTCAACAAGAACTTCTAGTTGGATTGGATTGACATCACCTATGAAATTTGCTGCTCCGGAAAAGGTGCCTTCGCAGTCCCGCGTATGCCTGTTGGTAGCTGGAAGGATGGTTGCTGGTCATAGATGGCCATAGGATTTGAACCAAGAAAAGCATCATCTTCCTACCAATTTGACGCATAGAGACTGCCAACTTGACCTGTGACCCTATCAGCTCGAGCTCCAGGTGGCTCACAGCTTGAGGTCCCAGTGGGTAGTGGGACACAATCGGGTTTTGAAAGAACATCCTTGAAGATCTGCCACTGATGAGACTTTTCAGACTTCGTCCCTCGGCCCTGCCATGCTCACTGCGCGGCTCCTGAGCGGCAAGCTGGTGGCGCAGGTCGCCTGCGCTCCCGCGGCCGAAGGACCCCTGCGGGCGCTGCGCTCGGAGGTGGCCCGCTGTCTGAGGGTGCCACGCTACAAAGTGAGGCGGTGCGGTGGGCACGGGAGGTACGGTGGCTGCGCTGGGCACGGTGCTGTGAAGCTAAGAGCGCCATGGATGAGTTCAAGGGTTTGGAGGATGTTGCTGGTGAAGCTAAGATGAACATGGTAAATTGTCATCGACCAACGGTTGGAAAGATCCTCCACACGAGACCACGTTGTCACCTCCAGCGCCCAGGTTGTCACAGACGGCCTCGATTCAAAGGCACATTCTTTTACACCAGGTTGTTCGCACCTGAGAAGGAGTTTCCAAAGGCCGAGGGACACTTAGAATTCATTGGAATTCTATCTGCACGGTCGTACTTCTCCATCCTCTGATCAGATCGTCACCCGTCCCAGCCATCACTCTGAACAATTCCAGACACTGACAGACACGGAGTCGCCGATGGCACAACCAAAGCCGAAACCGAAACCGAAACACGGACGGGACACTTAGCCTGCCAGGCTTTGTGCCTCTGGTGATGACACCCCCTTGACCAATGAACTCTGGAAACAGCAGGGCAGCCCTGAGGACCTCTCGCGTCGGCTTGGGCCGCCGTCGACCTCTCACGCTTCACATCTCGGGTTCTCCCCGCGTCACGCAGTGAACATCACTCAACAGCTGCTTGCTTGAATTGGGCAGATGCCCTTCACCCCTTCAACAAGCATGAAGGTGGAACAAGTCCATCAGGAAGATGCGTTTCAGAAACGGGTTTCATCAAACCACATATGTTGAGTAGAGGGTAGTTGTAATATGTTGTAATTTGTTCCTATGCACTTCTCCCACATCGCACGGTTTACGCTCCCTTTTCCTGGAGAGGCCACACGTGCACACTGCAGATTTGCTGGGTTAGAACAGATCGAATCGTTTTTATCCGTTTTCTTTGCACCACCCACATTGATTATGTCGAAGGGTTGCCTACTTTAAGGCCTGCTACTCTAGATCACTGGACATTGTGCATCTACTGAACATGCCCAATGGAAGAGGTGTTGCAATCATTTGCTCAGTCAGAAGGAGGTTGCTTTCCAAACCCCCTTAGGGGAGAGGTGAATGGCTGCTTGGGGTTTGTGACAGTGGGCATTGGAATTTTGGCTGATCAGCTCGCAGCGGGAAAGGAGCTCACTGCCATTTGCGTGGACTTCGAGGAATTGTTGGACTTGTACGTGCCCGAGCCGCACATCACTGCACAATGAAACAATGTCACGTCTTTTCGTGGAAATCTACTGTAATAGGAATGGCTTCCAACCTAGCGATGGCCTCGACCAAATCGCGCTGCCCTCCACCCAAGAGCGATGGCCTCCACCTAATAGCGATGGCCTCCGCCTAAGAGAGCATTTGTTTTCCTATTGTTCATATTCATATCATCTGACACTAGTTTACAAACTCATTTTGTCCTCATATAGCCCTCCAACAGCAGCAGTCTTTTTTGCTCCACGCCAACTGCCGCCTTCCTTTGACTCTGAGATTCTTTGTTTATTGTGGGTCAGTAGATGTATTCCCAGCCCAGACCCTAACATATGGTTGAAATGAAGGAGGGCACAACGTGGCCGTATACATAGAAACGCACCTTCAACCAGCACAAGTTCTATATCCCAGAAGAAGATCAAGTAGTCTGAAAGACTTTATCATCCGCTTGTGGATTCGGCGACAAAGTTGGGATTGATGTCAACGAAACCAGTTACTTAACAGCCTATTGGAGTACCCTCCACAGGAAACACCAACCAACAGACGGGCTTGAAAAATGATGTCCATAAAAAATGATGGTTGCCCTGACATGTTCGGGGAGTTTCTTCCATGTTTTGGTTCGCCAATTGAAGCTTTGGTTCATTCCTCCTCTACCCTCGTCTTCGCACCAAGTGGCCGGCTGCAGCCTAACCTCTACCTCTACCGCTGTACCTGGCCTGGGCCGGGGGTTCTTGTCGTTGGTGCCAAGGCCGCAGAGCTTTTGGAGGCGGTCGCTGCAGGGGAGCTGGAGGAAGCGGAGGAGCGCGAGGGGGTTGACTGGGTGGAGGGTGACATCGACTCGGTCGATTGGGTCAACACGGGGTTGTTTCTTCGATCAGAGGTGTCACAGTGAGAGGTATTTCGGTCGATCTTCGGAGTGTTTTGCATGGTCATTGGTGAAACATGGTGATCAATATCAAGAGCCTGGTCAACACACCAATTCGGCGCATGGGTGGACGATGTTGGCATCCATGTATTTGGGTCACTTTGGGTTCGCTCCAGGGGTTGCCGGCTGCCAAGAGCCGGGAAGGGTGTCTCTCATGGGGCCTCCAAAGCTAGCCAGGCACTGTTAACTATCGTTAAGCCAGGTTTTTGGATGGTTTGAGAGGCTGAGTCAGAGGCATTGTTAGCAAGGCCCCCCCCCCCGACGGTCAGGATCTGCTGGGCCGTGGGCAGCAGCCAGATGTGGTGGACCCCACGGCTGGCTCTGCCCTGTGCATCGCGGCGCGCGACGGGCAGGAGGCGCCGTCTTCGTGTTTTGGTCTTCAGCAATTGGGAGGCGCTACTCCTCAAAACAGAAGTGACGAGCCAACTTTGACCTGTCTTAGCAGCGATAGTCACTTTGTATTTGAGGTTCATGTCTTTTCATGTCCGTCGTTTGGCACATACGCGGTGACTTGTATGTGTGAGAGGGAGCTCTTGCTGGCAATGTGAGAAACCACTGTGCAGCTGCACCAAACCACTCGTATGAGCTGGCCTACAGTAGATGCAGAGTGGATGGTGCAGTTTTCAACAATGATTTCGCTTTCGCCCCATATTTGCCCAGATAGACAGAACTGCGAATCCCACAGAAACACTCTTGGAGCTTGTGGACCTCTGGCCATTTTTGGACTTCCATACTTGGCAGCTTTCTACCTACTCTGTTGGAGGATCCATCCTTGCCAGGAGATTCTGGAGATGCTCCTTGAAGCCCAGGCCGATGTGAACGGAGTCCAGGCCGGCAGAATCGGCTTGTTTCGGCTGCACCAAGAAGCAAGACAATGGCTGCGTCTATGAGTACGACGACTACTCCTACTACTTCTCCTTCTTTTTCAGATGACCCGATCTGTCTACCTACCCAATCATCCGCGGCCTTCCAAGGACTTTCTCCATCGCATGGTCCGTCCGCTGCACAACGCCGCCAGCCACGCGCAGCTGGGCGCCCTCCGGCGCCTGCTGCGGCGCCGCGCGGACGCGGCGATGCTCGGACGCGGCGAGTCCGCCGTGCATGCGGCGGTCTGCGAGGCGTTGTTCCCCTCCGACGACCGGTGGAGCATCGAGAAGCGGGCACAGAACCACTTGGAAGCCCCTAGAAAGGGAACATTCGACGATATGATTGGTAAGAGGCGCTTTCCAGCCCTTGATTTTTTCACCGCTGGTTCAGCTGACAAAATGCTTGACAGAAAAGAAAGAAGAAAGGTCGTGGCGGTGGTGGTGGTGGTGGTGGTGGTGGTGGTTCAACATGGTTTAACCGGTAGTCCACCGTGATTCTCTTCGACCGACAGCACGGTGGCCGACCGCTGACCGCCGCTGGCGCCCTTCACCGATTTGGACCGACCGCCGATCGGCCATGATCCACCAGGCCGCCAGCGAGGCCCATTTGTCTTGCTTAGCCGAGCTCTTGGCGCAGCGCTGTGCGGTGGACACGGAGGAGATGGGATGGAAAGAGAGATGGCCCTCTATGAATATGATCATGTACTTATCATTTATCATAGATGCATTCCATGGGTACTTAGGCCCTAGTTTCTGATCACACCCTCCCTGATAATGATCATTTTCTGTATTTTTTGGAGGATTGTGTCCCATGTTTGATCCACTCTACATTCAGAAGACGAACAGATGCGACAATCAAGTGAAAATTGTGTAACAAGTGATTGAAATATATAGGCGTGAAAGAGGTTGCTAGATTGCGTAGGGTGCATTTTTTGCATCTTTGCTATTCTCACAGTTGATGAATCAATCAGCTCGCTAGTCTAGATTCTCGCAGAACGACAGCCAGTTTCCAGGCATTGCGAAAACAGCGACTTTGAGGCAGACTCTTTCTGTCTGGAAGACATTGAAGTTGAAGGCTGTTTGTTTGGGTTTGAGTGGATGAATCAACCAGTTGAGCAAGAAAACTTGGTCCTTCTTCGCCTCAACGTTGTTGGACTGCCCAAACACCAGAATTTGGGATCCGAAGGACCTACATGGACGCACTGCTTTGCATAAGGCTGCCAGCCTGGAAGGTACTGAGGTGCGGGATGGGGCCAGATACCGACCTGCTGGAGTGGCAAGTTTCAATGGACGGACATGAGATGTGTGCTCCTTTTCTTCTTTTTCGCTGCAATTAGCGGCCACATGCAGGGCGCCAAACCTCCCATGGTTGTGGAGGCTCTTGTCGCTGCAAGAACAGCCACTGAACAACCTGTAGCTTCTGCTTCTGAAGCTCAAAGCGACCGAGTTCTCCAGAGTTCTATCCTCCGGTCCTCCATCTCTTCGACGGATTCATGGCCGAAACGCTCGTGAAAGGCGCATTTGGAGCTGCTCCTGTCGGCTGGAGCCCGTGTGGCCTCTCTCAACCGCCGGCGTCAGGCGCCGCTCCATCTGTGCACCACCAAGGCGCAGGTGCTGCGGCTGTTGGCGGCACGGGGCGAGCTGGAGCTGAAGGACGAGTCGACGGGTCGTGGGTCGTGGGTCTGGTGGAGTAGCAACCACCACGGTAAGTTATATATATATATATATAGTATGGTATAATGAGTTTTATTGTGTGGCCGTGAGTCAAGACCAGGAAACCTTGGTTGACCTACCGACGTGACAGTCAAGGTACATGGTGGACCAGAGCATGTAGAATGTAGATCTGAGGTGCAAAATTGCTGTCTTGTGAAAAAGCTGTCACGGAAGAGTCTTCAAGTCAAACAATCACATGCCATGATTGGATGCGAGAAAGCATTGGATGAACCAAGCACTGGTATAGGATTCAGGATTGACCCACCACAGCACCTATGGAAGGGAGTTCCTGATGGATTTGAAGGTTTTGGTGCATTTTCAATCCTAGTGTAGGATTGCCCCTGGGCCTGAACAGAGGTCACTCTCTTTTTATCTCTAATCATGGCAGTGGAAAAGAGTGGCAACTCACTGGCCTGTCAGGACTCCTATGGGAGCTCTGCTCTCCTTTGCGCGTGTGACAACGGCCGAGCCGAGGTGGTGCAGGAGACCGGTCTGGCGGTCCGATTCGGGTGGTACCCCGAGGTGAACTGCAACGATACGCGGTGATGCCACTTTGGGGTAAGGACCAATATAGGTGGGTGTGTATTTGTAGTCATTGCGGAGACCCCCCTGAGGAGTACCCCCCTGATGAGTAGACTCGTTTATTTTCCTTCTTCCAGCAAATCGTTCGTTGCCTGGGAGGTCTCCCTATTTGAGCTACATACCCAGGTGGCTTTTGAATAAAGAAGTTTGATACTTAGCTTCGAGATCTGCAAGTCTGCCTCTTTTCCGGTGCTTCACTTGCTCGTCTGCCTCCGGTGCGTGCCTTCTGGGCTTGCATGAGCCTTCGCTACAAAAGGGTCAAGGGTCGATCGAATCGGCACGTCGGTCAAGGGTCTGGTGAATCTACACACGTGCGCCGAACGAACGCGGTCGGTCTCTAGGCAGCTTGTGATTCTATTTGAGCACTGAGCACTGAGTAAGACTCCTAGGTCCTAGGTCCAGAACTGGAGGGCAAACTGGTGATCCGGGTTCCGCGATATTCTTCTTACATAAGTCACTTTGGGCTTTCGCGCTGGCACACACACACATGGAGACAAGGTTGCTGGCGACACTTTCCATGCTGGGAAGATGCCAAAGGGGGCTTTACCGCCCCATCTCCATCCTTTTCCTCGTACGAAGCGGTGTGAATCTCAGGGTCCATTGTTTCGTCTTCTTTTCGAACCGATGTTGGTGGAGTTGAGAGCGTGCAGGAGCTGCTTAAGCAGAGAGCCAGCCTTCAGCTGCGGAATCGCCGGGCCGAGTCCGCCTTGCAGCTGGCAGCCAGGCGAGGACGTGCTTGAAAGAATCCCCATCCAGTTGAGGGGGAAGGACGCCACAGTTTTCGAGAAGAACATGTTCACAGGTGCTTTCTCAAGAGGCGGTAGTTCATAGAGGACCTGTTCGATTGGAAGATGGACCCAATTCGCTGGAATTCATGGAGTCCACCCTTTTGAGACGCAAGTTGTTCGGATCCGAACAGTTGAACCGGTGTAGATGGCTAGGCCCAGTGTATGTGTTGTTTTGGTCATGCCGATATGTTTTCTTGTTATATATACACACCTATATATATATATATGAGTTGAAAAAATAAACCCGGTATTATGTATTAAGTAAGGAAGGTTCCCAGAGGTTCGGAAGTAGCTTAGCCACCGCTTGGTATTCTGGTGCTTAACTTGGAGATGCTATCTTGTCGCTAGCGCTAGGTTCAAATACTTAGGTCCTTAGGTAAGATTAACAAACAACACATAATTACACGCATTGAACGGACAACCTGTGAGACCAAGATTCTCTAGCCGAGTTTATCTTTGTCTGTGTCTGGACACAGCCAGTTTGGCTGTATTTGGTTTATGTAAGCAGGGGCAACTTGACAACTTGACAACTTGCTTATAAGAGGACTGCTGCTTTCAGTTTCACATTTGGAACCGTTCGACCTGTAAGTCAGAATGCAGCCATGAAAGGGGCACGCAACATACAACCATTGCAGATGTCGTCTACATGAAAGCCACCGCTTGGAGTTGCTGTGATGTGAAGCTAGGATAAAGACTTTAGAACGGGTTATTTTTTTCAGCTCATATGATGCTTTTATATTTTAGGACGGCCAATTTTTCACCACCATTACATATGCCGGCAACCTCAGCGAGGACCGGTCTTTCGGGGTGAATGCTACTACCAGCTGCGATGTCCTGCGTTGTTTGGCCACTATGAGTGACCACTTCTTGTGACGCGACCAGGAAGGGTCACCTGAAGATTGCGGAGCTCTTGTTAGACGCGCAGATTGACGTGAACACCACTGACAAGGCCAGGCCACATCGGGCCCAAGAGTACATAGCTGTGAAGCAGACATGGAGAAGAAGGCCTTTTTCGAAGCAAACATCAAGAGTATTGTAACGCTCCGTGGAACCGCTGATGATGGGTAAGGCCAGGAGCCCCTAGTAGCTTTTTGTTCCTAGTAGCGATGCCAGGAGCCCCTAGTAGCGTCCTTGCTCCTAGTAGCGATGTAGCGATGCCAGGAGCCCCTAGTAGCTTCTTGTGTAGTAGCTTCCTAGTAGCTTCATATACGGTGTATTCATAAGTTTTGCAGAAAGACCAACACGCTCGAAGGAACATTTTGTAAGTACTCAATTGTTTTAGAGGATTGTGTCACGTGTCCTCCAAAAAACAGCTCTTTCAAAAGGTTGATAAAGGTTGGACATTTTGTATCTTTGCAACGGCTTAGTTTTCACATATCTGCGACGTTTGTGAGGCCTCGCACTAAAATAACTCAGTATTCGAAGCATCTACTGTACTTGTAACATTGCTGTTGTTTTCAAAGCGTCAACATACCAAACATGCTGCTTTCACATGCCTTGCGATGGTTTCTGCAACCGTGCTTTCAAGTCCACCGCCCCTTGCAAGGCATTTTGTCCTTCGCCTGCTGTGACAGCACGCTCTAAGTTCAGTGTGCTCTTTGGAATGATTTGCGGGAGCTGTCTTCTGTTAAAGCCTTTTGACCTCCAATTCGTGCGAATGGACCAATTCGTGCATGGCAAGGAAGTTCCCCAAAGGGCAGGCCATGCCCCGTTTTTATCGCCTTGTCCGAGGCCTTGTTGGGGTCTGTGTGTCCTGCTTGGCTGCGCCATGGACCCTTTCTTCTTCGTCCAGTAGCTTCTTGCTACTAGTAGTAATGCCAGGTGCCCTGGGCTTTGTCTTCTCCGGGTGCGTCTCCGTTTTGTCCGGGCCTTGTCCAGTCCAGGTTGTCCTGCTTGCCTGCGTTGTCGGCCCCCTTATCAGGGCCTTGTCCCCTGCTTGGCAGCGCCGTTTGTGGCTATGAATGCAGCAGTGATGCAGCGTTCCAAAATTGACATGACATGTTTTTTTGCATACTATTCCCACCAATGTTGGAATGCAAGGAATTGACACTAAAACAACCAGCTTAAGGTCTGTGCTGGTATAGTTTTGAAACCTCTCCACGCCCTTCAATGTGCAATCAACACCCTTGCGCCAGATGCTCCGGACCATTGTGCCTTGTGCCAGGACGGAACTTCACCCCTCTGTGTCGCCCTGACGGGCGGCTTTCAGGACTTTGCTGCCCTCCTGTTGGCCCATCAAGCGGATGCCGATCTGTCGGGAACCCAACTGCGCAGGTTTTCTTTTTTGTGCATACAGCTTTTGGCTTATAGGTTTCACTAGCCTGGGACGTTTCTGGCAGACAAACAGAGCAAGTCAATGATGTCAATGTTTCTACTTGTGCGAGTTCCACAATGTTGAATTTCATCGAACTTCATGCTCATCAATATAGACCGCTGGTTGGGAATGATGGAGATGTTGGAACATCTACTGTATATATATATATATCTCCTCTTCCCCCCTGACGACGCGTGACAAGGCCTGACAGCCGTGGCCGCAACGTGTTCTGCGTGGCCGCAGAGAATGATCGCCTAAAGGTGCTGTGAGGGGTCACCGGTCACGATTGGATCTGGTTTGCGGAGGACGCAATTTTTTTGGGTCTTTCCTTCCAGCGGGGATCAGCTGGATGAAGTTATGCACGTGGAGTTCGATGTGTTGCCAGAACTGAAAGGTGGTCCCAGTTTGGTTATTGTCGATGGCTGACTTTCTGTGACGGATTTTGGATTGTGTATACAGAGGTCGCTCCCTGTGCTTCGAACCTCCGTTTATTATTTTGTACTTTGTTACTTCAATCAGACAATGCAAACTTTCCATCAGCTTGTGTGGGCTCGCTTGATCTCTGAGTGGGATTACTACCCAGCTTTCAATTTTTAACACCATGAAATAGTTGCCACATTGCATGCAAAGATGTTTGCCCGCCTAGTAGCCTAATCCCAGTAAGGAAGGCAGATGAAGGCAGTATAATTACCCCGAATCCGATTTTTCTCTCTTTTATGGTGACACCCAAGCCCTCATATCAACTCTCTCAAACTGTCTAGATCTTTTGGGCGTATGAGAAGCAGTGTGTGGGAGTTTTCTGGGCATAAGCGGGTGTATATCAGCCCTCACCATCTATCGGAATTGGTGGGTGGTTTTGGTTTTGGTTGTTTTGGTCCACTTCGGATCAGCCTTGGAGCTGCTAGGTGCTGCAGCTCCTCCTCCCGGTCCTTCCCGCCGACGCGGCGCCGCTGCTGCGCCGGGACATCTTCGGGCGTACGGCGCTCTATGCAGCAGCCGAACGTGGGCATGCTGAGGCGGTGGAGCTACTGCTGGCGGCCAAGAGTGAAGTACAGGCTCCAAAAACTGACAGGACCACCACAGGACCAGTCCAGTGAAATGGAAGAACCAATTGAGTGGACTGGAACCAGCTTGGAACCACGAAGACGATCCTGGTGGTTTTCACTCTCCGTGGTACAGGACTTCTTTCTCCCCTTCCTGCCTATGATCTCGGGCAGGTCCTGGACCACAACCACCGCTCCCTGCTCCATGCAGCGGCACTCGCACACTCCAGCCACTGCCTGGAGCAGCTGCTGGACGCACGTGTTGCAGTGGACGTCGCAGACCGGGAGGGGCGCACGGCGTTGCACGTGGCGGCTGAGGGAGAAGAGGAACTGGTGGAAGTGCTGCTGAAAGGCCCGGCAGGAGGGATAGAAAGGAGGGGATATTTGATGATATTTGTGATGTTCATGAAACGTCTCTTTATTCCCGCTCTTTTTGTCATTCTCACAGCATTTTGTCACTGCCCCGCCCCAGCCCATTTTTTTCCACTCCACCCCAGGCGGTGCCGAGCTCCGCCCGGACCACGTGGGCGCCACGCCGTTGCACGTGGCCGCCGCGCGCACGGCGGGCGGCGCCGGTGCCGCGCGTCGCCTGGCCGCGGCGGTGGCGACGGTGACGGCGCCGGGCGACGGCCTGGCGGCGGTGAACGGCGAGGGGCGCACAGCGCTGCACTTGGCGGCGTGGCAGGGAGATGAAGAGGCAGGGACAGGGTCGACAAAGTGCTGAAAGTGGGGAAGGATGAAAAGGGCATTCAGCAGCTGCTGTCATCAGCAGCTGCTATGTGTTCACATCACTGCTTCAATTGATCCTGGGGCCACTACTCATGCGGGTGTGGGGTCAAAACTGGAACCCCAAAACCATATACCTTGTAGTCTATTCTGTTTGTTTTGTGGTCAACCAAGGTCTCCCGGGTTTGATTCACACAGCCATGTTTGTTTTGCTTCTTCAGGCTACGACGCTACGACAACATCCTCCACCCATGTCTTCCAGATAGCGCATAAGGTGTCTCATGCTCTACTGCAGTCCTCTGCATTTGTGAGAGCATCCTTCCACAACACCATCTTTGGGCCCCTGGCAGAACGCTTCGGTAGCACTTTTGCTTGCACTTGCCGTCAGGCAAAGACTGTACACCTCTCCGTTGGACGAATTGGAAAGAAGAAAAGGGACCAATTTCTAACATGCTGTCTGTCGCTGGGTCATAAAATGTCAGAAAAGTCATTGAGCTGCAATTACAAAGTAATTGCAATCAATGGATTTCGACATGGGGGGGGGGCCCATGGTTCCTGTGCCGGGAGTTGTCCTGCCGACTTGGTCGGTCCCGGTGCTGACTGCTGGGTCCCACAACACCAGGGTCGATGGAACTAGAGATGAGATGAGACATATCGGCTACCCAATCGCTCGGTCTTTCTTCTATTTCAAATTCGGCTGCATCAGCATCAGTCGACAAAACGACAGGTGGTGGAGGTACTGCTGGAGGCGGGATTGGATCAACCGGAGGAAAGAACGTCAAGTGGGATTCCATAGGACTTTTCCCGGAGCAAAAGACTCTGTGGTGCTCAGTGGTGCTCCTCCCCTCCCAAGAAGATGACCAGCATGAACATCGTGAACGATTCACTCCCTGGATTTGTCTGAACTTGGGGGAGTTCTGGTGACGGGCTTTGCAAGTGTCGCTTGCAAATTGCTCATCGATTCCGTCGAGTCCTTCACTTTTCCTGGAAATCCCTCGGAGAGAATCTAGAAGGGAACAGGGGTTGTTTCTTCCAGCCACCAAAGAACTCAGAGACAGTGCAGGATCACACCGTTCGACCACCTTGGTGTTATTTTTTCCGTACGCGCCGCGCACGCGCTGCACACGCTCGGAGTGAGCAGCGAGGCGCGTGCAGATACCAATCATCCAGACAGCCACTGCCACGCACCGCTGCATCTGGCTGCTGACCAGGGTCACTTGGAAGTGGTTCGGAGCCTCATCCAGAACCAGGCGCCTCATCCGGACCCCTGTTTTCCCTTGTTTGTGGGCCACCTTTATGTAGTTTGATGGGAGATGTTTCGCTACACACCGGCTGCCCGTGAGGCAGATGGCAACCAGCCGAACATCCATGGGCGCTCCCCTCTGCATGCAGCGGCCAATCAAGGCCGAGCCGTTGTGGGGATCCGAAGTGTGCAGAAGAGTCCAGGCTTGCCAGAAGCTCCTGCAAGAAACACACAGGCTGATGAGGAAGACCATGTTTGAAGGGTCCAGATAGATAGACATGTTGTCCAACGCACTTCCAGAGAATTAATACATGCTTATGCATATACATAAACATTACTACATACTACATACTGTAATGTATAGTACTTTCTATCGATTTGTTTTGGGTCTCGTTTGGGACTCCCAGGTGGACTTCGAACGCACCAAGAGTCTGGAAGGGTTAGGAACTCTCCAGACCGCTGGGATCGAAGAACCTGGTTAGGAAGTCTCCATCTTAGACTGGCTGACACTAAGAAAAGTTCATGTAGGCCCCGCTCCCTCCTGCCCATGCCAAAGGGCTTAATTTATTTGCATGATTGGGTCAAGGCATGCTTTAAACATGACGCTCAACCAAGTCCGGGTTTTCAGGGTCTGCAATCTTGATCCTTATCCACAGCTACCATCCCAAATGCGGGAAACACGGACAGCCCAAACCTGTGGGTCACTTCTTCGAAGGTCCACTGAGGCAAAACCTGTCACCACAGCGATTTGTCCTGATGCACACGCATTGGCAGGCCACCTGGAGATCTGTCACCTGCTGGTGGATGCCAAGGTGGGGCGGTGGTCACCTGAACAAAGCTCTCTTGAGTCATGAGCCTACGACGACTATGCGAGATTGTGGGAGATTGTGCAGGTGAAACATCTGCCCATGTTGACTGCAGTCTCGGTTTCCTAGCATCCTAGTATCCTATCCGATACAGGCCTTCTGAACCGAGCCTGGATGTGTTCGTTTGGAGGGCAGCCGTAGCGACGTCCAGACTGGAGCCTGAACACACCAATTCTCTCTTTGAGGCCTTGGTCTCCTTGGAGGACCGCTACTGCGACACTCCACTGAAGTCTGCATGCGTCTCCGGGCATGCAGACGTGGCCCAGGCACTGGCGAAGGCCAGCAAAGGAGGATACACGAGGTGGTCCGCGAGGTGGCCAACTGTCGACGAAACAGAACTTGTGCCTCAACAGTAACTTTGGCAAAAGTGCCAGATGATGGCAAAAATGGTTTACAGTCGAAGCGATTATATATATATATATGTATACGTGCCTCTGAGTAAAGCTTAACTCCCTGCGGTTTTCATGAGATGGTTCCTATGGGGGGCAGTTCAACTGCAGAATAAGCAGAAATGCAAAGGCCTGTTAGGCTTCCTCAATCAATCCTGCATGAGCATCCGTGAGCCGTTTCAGCCTGGACACCTGGAGTTGGGCACGTTGCCCCGGCCAGGTCCGTTCTGCAGATTCCTAAGGGATGGTGCTTTGCCAAGATGGGTGGGAGCTGGTATGAGATGGCGCAAAAGTAGGAACTTCATTTCTTTTTTTCTTTGACTGCAGGTGATAGGTGCAAGTGCAAGGGAAGATAGGCCATCAAAACATTGGGCCAGGGAGGTCTCCTATTCCCAATTCAGTTGACTTTAAGTCACTTTGTTGTTTTCCGTGGTCTTATACCTCTTCGAGGGTTGTCGTATGCAAGCCTGTCAAAAACCTTTTTCAGCCTGCCAAGGTGCCTCTTTGCATTCCTCGTTGTCACAACCAAGGCAGTGAGAAGGGAGTTCAAAGATGACATTTCGGAAGCATGACTCACTTTCTTCCAGAGACTATTCTGGATGCAGGATTCATCAGGATTCATTCTGGACATGAAGACCTGCAGTCTTTTGGCTCGGAACTGGGATTTGGCCAACAATTTGCAATTTCACCCAGATTGTGCGCCAAGCGCAGCCATGGGGAATGCTTGTGAAAAATCCACAATTTCGCAGGAGGAGGTGCCAAATGGAAGATCATACGGCCCACAATACCGAAAGAACGTGATGTTCTTGTGCAATCACAACTC